TGATTAACCAACTGATCTGGCAATTTCCTACATTCTTTTGCATTTAAAAAGGATCTGAGAGGCCCGAGAGTCATCCCCTTGCATATTCCCGGGGGAGTGGGAGGCTGCGGCCCGTCCTGCTGGGCTAGGGCGCGGAGGGGCCCCGCCGCCCTCCTGCCCTCCTCCCCCAGCCCGGGCCTGCAGCTGAAAATAATTTATCTGCTCGCTCCGCCGGGCTCCCGGCATATGCGATTGGGAGGGAAACGTATCCATCATGGATAAACTTGAGCACAAAGACAGGCTGAGTGTCACAGGATACAAAAGGGCAGAGGTCGGCGCGGCGAGCGGGAGGATTTGCGCAGGGCAGGGCAGGGCAGGGCGGCATGGCCGCCACACGGCAGCGCGGGGCCGGGCCTGCCCGGCCGGGCACAGCTCCTGCAGTAAACAAAGCCCGAGCCACCAACACCGGGAAAAAACCCGCTGGAAACAACGAAAGAACCGGAGGGGTGACGGAGCTCTAAGGTAACACGGGGCCTTGGCCCGCTCCTTTTCGCTGAAAGCAGCTCGTGGTGTTTACACCCAGAAAGTTGGGAACTGTAAAAATTCATGAGGTGGAGACTCAAATGTTTCCCAGAGTTTCTGAACATGTGATTTTCACCGAAATATATTTTTTTAATCACGGGCAGGTTTTAAGACTTAATCGTATCCCAAAAGGCTATTTCCAGCTATAGAATTATGAGCGCTTTAAAGTAGCCAGACCCTGTATTTTACTTTACCTGTTACAAGGCCAATACAATCATGTTTCATTCATAGTTTATGAAGTCTGAAAAACCACTTGATGAAATTACAGTCTACCGATACCACACATGGTATATTTGTCCACGTATATTCTATAATCATTTCAATTTATGACTTGTACTTAAGAGTCATTTTCCTGTACATGTGTTCTTCATAAATACTGGTAGATCGCAGTCTGCGCTCGTACGGGAACCACATATCCACACTCATTTCTGTGAAGATAAATACACCCTGTGCACCCAGAGTGAAAAGCCAGTTTTCACATGACTGAAGAGAACACACTTCAGGGCTGAGGAACAAAATGGTAGTTCTCCCTTACACTCTTTACATGTGGCAAGATGAATCATCCTACACCTGAACTTAAGCTCTCACTCAACTTCCAGTATTGATGATCTTTTTTGCCTCATACACTTAAGCATACTGTCTTGACCCTTTCAGCAAAGAAAAAAATTATTACATGCTACACCAGGAAAAGATTACAAATTGTATTTTATAGAAAAAGATAACATCAGTGTTTTCTAATGTATTTTAAATGAAATCACACAGTGAATGGCTTGGGTTGGAAGGGGCCTTAGAGACCTTTCAAAGACTCAAACATTGGATTTTACAAATTTAAAATTTTCTTCTTTTTTTTACAGATTTTAACTTAGTTACAAAAAAGGCTTGTAGCATCAAACTAATTATGTATTTTATCATATGCTATTGACTATTTAAAAGAAATGTTAAATTATTTCACTAACTTAAAATCAACCACAAAGAAAAAGGATTGGGGTGAGAGAGTGTGAAAACAAACAATACAGTGCAGGACAGAATACGGTACGTGGAGTAAACAGATTTCAGAAACTTTCATTTAGTGCCTGGACCATCAGATGGGTTCAGTAACATCTCATGGAATACAGGGGACAGCTGCGATACTATTGTTAATTGGACTACTTAAATTTAGGGGTTTGTTTGTTTTAATGAAATTAACATATGCACCTTGAACATTCTATTGTTTTTTTTTGGAGAAGGATATGCCAAAAAAAGAGGTTAATTCTTGGTCAGTGCAATGGAAGCAGGCTCTTGCACATACAAGAAAAAAAATCAGACTTCATTTGTTTTTTTAGTGTGGTTTTTAGTGTTGTTTTGTTTTGGTTTTTTAACATAACACCTGGCTCACAGTGATCATCAGGACTTATTCAAACCACAACATAAACAGCTATATCACGCTGTTCTCCCCAATGGACAATGCCAAGGGAAAAGTGTGTGTAGCTCTCAACAGCTTCTAGTGTATAAGACTAAGTAAGATACTTAAGAGAAAGCTAAAGTTCATTTGGACATGGAAAAAACAGGTGCCTAGACAGCATAAACATTAGTGCCTGAAATTTTAAAATTGCACTGGGGACTGTCAGATGAGTGCAACTCTTGTCAGTTCTCATGTGCAGTGTGGCCCTTCTGATCAAGCAAAACTGAGCTCAGTGTTTTTCCTTTATTAAAGCAGGTTCAAAAGGAAGATAACCAAATTTTCTTGTGCAAAACTTTAATAGGACATCAGTTTTTGCTTCACACAGAAGAAAACCAGCTGGGGTGTTTTCAAGCACCTTGCTTAATCAATTTGCAGTTCTAAAATTACTCCAGGATAGTTAAGTTCAAATGAACAAAGAACCTTCCAGGGGAAAATTTGTCACGTAAAATTCTAGAACTATGCAATTCACTCCCTTCTCATCAAGATTTTGAAAAACTTGGAAGCAACTGTCTTTTGATGTGCAAACTGCTGACCCAGGACCCACAGTCACAGTCATTCAAACTACTGCAACCAACAGGAGCAGCTGACATTCATCTACCACATTCTTTACACCCAGCAGAAAAGTTCTTGAGCTACCTTCAATTCCCCACAAGCTCTGCAGAGATAAATGATGAGCACACAGGAACAGTGCTGCATTCATGGATTAGATGTGAAAGGGAATTTTTCCTTGTCTAGAACTGAACCTGGAAACCAGTTCCACTTCATGGTATGCTCAACCATCTCTCAAAAAGCAGGGATAAACTTAATTTTCTAATAGAAAGCACTATCTTCACTCTTCCTAATGATTCACGGTCTATTTAAATTACCTGTTAAGCTTATCAATTATACTGCAGAGAATTAGAAATTTCCACATCCTTTTCAGTTGAAATAAATTTTAAATCATACTAAAGCCCCCCAAAACCCAAACAAACAAAACCAAAACAAAACTTTGCACATTGCCCTCCCCTCAACAAGCCCAAAAATTTATTTCTACTCACAAAAAAACGTGAGGTTAAAATCTAGGGTAGAGGATCAGGGGTTTTTTGTGTATTTTGTGTTGTTTTGTTTGGGGTTTTTTTGTTGTTGCTTTTGTTGTGGTTTTTTAAGTAGGAAAAGCAAGAAAATTAAAGGAGTGGGCAGGCTGCCTAGAAGGTTAGAGGCTTATTTTGATAATTTTGGAAGAGTTTGATTGCAAACTTTGCTTGACTAGCAATTTCTTTTGTGTTTGTAAGTACCTGGAAAAGTGAAAGTACGATTGAAAAAATGGCTCATTAAAAAAACCCAAGCAAACCCATTTAAATAGCAAGAATCCCAGAACAAGAGAATTAAGGACTCTTAATCAAGTACTATATGAAGACTGCTACCATACAGATTTGTGTCAACAGCCAAATTTAGAGCTGTTTCAACTACTATTCAGAGTCCAGGTCTCAGAACGAGACCGACAACGACTAATGAATTATCTATTCAACAGTGCAATGTAGAAACACTACTATGAAAAATTTTTTCATATCAAGAGTCAAAAACCTGCTAGTAAAAAGTGAATCAACTCAACAGTTAAAAATGTATTCCTTTGCTTATCAACTACGTAGTAAGGACAGTTAGAACACATACAAAGAATTCTGAAATTCCAATGCTACACATTTCCAAAGTTACTTTATCTCTACAAAAAAAGAGAAGCCTCATCCAGAGTAAGATAGCCACCAAAAGACTGCAAGATTATACTACATTTTACTTAAGCATTAGTAAATGGCACTATTGTAGCACAGACTTAGATCACCTGAACCCAACAATGAAGTGCACAGCTGAGGAAAAACAATGCATGAGGCTCTGCTAAAGATCAATTGATTTAGAAGTC